GTAGACCAGGCTGGCCTCAAACTCACAGAGATCTGCCTGGGTGTGCCTCCCTAGTGCTGGGATTAAAGTCGTGCACCACTGCCACCCAGTGCTGCACTGTGTTTTCCTATCAAGTCTTAAAATGTGTTTTAGATACAAAACAGGTCAAAGAGCAAAACCAAGGAAGACCCTCATGCACATAGAAATGTGTAACATTCTTCTCCCGAAGCTTTTGGCTTCAAACCAGCCAACAGGCATGGAGAACTAAGGACTGCTGATGAAATAGAATACACGTAGATGAAATGGATATTGTAAAAAGTCTTAGTTAGGTTTCTGTTGCTGTGAAAAGACACCATGACAATGGCTACTCTTATAATTGAAACATTTATTTAATTGGGGTAGCTTGCTTACAGTTTCAGAAGTTCAGTCCATTATCATGATGGGGAGCATTGTAGCATGCAGGCAGACATGGTACTGGAGTAGTATTTGAGAGTCCTTCATCTTGCAGGCAACAGGAAGTTGACTGAGATACTGTGTGGTATCCTGAGCATAGGAAACCTCAGATCCTGCCCCCAAAGTGACACACTTCCTCCAACAAGGCCACACCCACTCCAACAAAGCCATACCTCCTAATAGTGCCACTTCCCTATGAGATGGGGCCAATTACATTTGAACTGCCACAAATACGTCTCTAATTATCCTCTCATTTGTGAGACTGAAGAAAGTACTCAGATATAAGAAGAAAAGTCAGTTCCAGGAAGGAGATTTAAAGTATTAGCCACATTTAACTAGTATTTACATACTATTTTCTTTGAAGCAGCATCTCATGTGCCTCAGACTGACCTTGAACTTAACATATGACAAGGCTGTGCTCTACCAAGCCCAGCTGCAGGTCATGTGTTTCACACTTTCCCCACCCCCACATAAACAGTTGCCCCTACTCTCCAAAACTCCAATATACGTATTCTTGGCAACCAGATTAATCTTTTTTTGTTTGTTTGTTTTAGAGACACATATGTTGAAAGGTTAACATTTAGTAAAGTAAACGGGTAAATATTTCAGATATTAAGGAGGTGAGAAGTTACTATATAGTATAAATTTCTAGAAAAATTGCTTAAATAAGGATCCTGAATATGGTCTTCTGATGTTTCCTGGGGTCCAATGAGCCATATGTCTGTACTCCTTCATTCTGGCTGATTAAAAAATCCTGGTAGACAAAACTTTTAAGTTGTTAGAAATTGATAGAGGAGCTAAAATATCCACTTAATATATGTTTACTTTGTGATTTCTCATGGCCTTTAAAAGTCAGGGAAAGACCTAACTGTTTAATTACTTGGGATGATTTTTTTCATTGCTTAGTGCCAATATGTTCAAGGTACTGCAAATAAGTTACAGTTGTAGCTTGTCCTTGAAGGCACTCAAATCTGAGATGAATTGGGAATAAAATTTGGAGAGAAATGAAAATTTTGAATTAAAAGATAGTTAGCCCAATTCTTTTATTCATTTATTAATTTAGCAAATATTTATTGGGTAGCTAGAGACCAAACCTAGTACTGTGGAGATGAAAGAGTTACCCATTTATAGTCTATATGGGAACAAATAATTCTTCTGAGGGGAAGGTGAAGAGTATAGGGGGGACTTCCTTGAAAAGAAGTGATGCCATATGAACTAGGTAGGTGCTACAGGAGCATTCGAAGAGAAACAGAGCATAGTACACTGAAATGAAGAGCGTTGCAATCCCATTGCAAATGCATGTGGGAGGTGAAAGAATAATTAGTTGTATATACACTGTTCTTTGTATTTGATTGAAAGGTGACGGATATAATAGCAGAGTTTTAAGCAATAAGGTGACATGAATAGACCTTCCTATTGGAAGTATTAATTTATGGAGAATGTCTTACAGTGTAGACAAAAAGAAAGAATGGATGCTTTGGTAATCCATGCAAGAATGAGGAGGGGATTTTTTTTTTGAGAGACAATCATATTGTAGATTATTAGATAATAGTTGAGCTAGTGATTTCATGCTTGGAGAGCTGCAGAAATGTCCATAAGCTTATCTCACAAATGGGCTAACTGACCTAGAATGTGTGCAAATGATTTGACCGAGGTCATTCAGTTGGTTAACAGTACAGCTGATATTAGATGATATTAGATGTTGGTCACCTAATTACAAGTCCATTGTTCTCATTATTATGTGGTTATTTGAAAGCCAAAATTTTTAAATGACCATATTTAAAATGCTTTAGGGGTATTTGTTATTCAGAAATCCTTTGCATATACATTTCAGAAAGTACTATCATTCCTTTAAGTTACCTCTTAAAATTTGTCTACAAAATATCTTCATGTTTAATTTATTAGATGACATAGCCAATAGTTGTATTGTTTTGGAGTATATTGCAAAAACTATATATGATTGAAAAGTGCCACTTTTCTGTGATTATAGTAGTAGTACAAGCTTTGAAAGTGGGACAAACAGTGAAGATATTAAGAAAGCCTGTTCCCTACTGATCCGTCAGTTGTATATACTGATGCAGAACCTTGGACCCCTTCCTAATGATGTTATACTTACCATGAAACTCCATTATTATAATTCAGGTAGGTAGAGACCTTTGGTCAGATTCTTTCTTTGCGTGTGCGTGTGCGTGTGTGTGTGCGTGTGCGTGTGTGTGTTTACTCAGGACAGGGTTTCTCTTTGTAACTGTCCTGGAACTCGCTCTGTAGACCAGGCTGGCCTCGAACTCACAGAGATCCACCTGCCTCTGCAGTGCTGGGATTAAAGGCATGCGCCACCACTGCCCAGCCAAATCCTTTTCTTTCTTTTTTTTTTTTTTATTTTATTTTACAATACCATTCAGTTCTACATAACAGCCACAGATTCCCTTGTTCTCCCCCTTCCTGCCCCTCCCCTTTTCCCCAGCCTACCCCCCATTCCCACCTCCTCCAGGGCAAAGCCTCCCCTGAGGACTGAGATCGACCTTTTTAAGTGCTCAAGTGATGCTGTATATACTTAGAAGGATTTTATAAGCATCTGAAAGATGTTTGTTACTAGATGTGAAGTATTGTCACTTACTCTATTGAAACAATTGCTATACTTTTTTGTCCTTTCTGCAGTGACCCCATATGATTACCAACCCCCTGGTTTTAAAGAGGGCGTGAACTCACATTTCCTACTGTTTGATGGGGAGCCTGTGAGCCTTCGAATGGGTTCAGTCTCCTCTGGCTTTCACAGCATGAAAGTAAAAGTCACAACCGAGGCCACGAGAATGCTTGATGCGGACAACAGTCCCGCTCCGGAGACTGGCACCACTGAGATAGCCCATCAGGGGCTTGACTGTGATGAGGAAGAAGAGGACAGCAGCAACCAAGTAAGGCCAGCTTTTAGTGACCCTTCATTGCTTCCCTCCAACACAGTTGACATTTCAGTGTGTATTCAGGTCATGTCACAGTAACAGAGTCCAGTGGAGCATGCCAGGTATGAAAACGGAAACAAACCTGGCCTCTGACGTCAAGGACTTTTTAGTAAAAAACTACAGTCTTCTAGAAGGAAATGCATGTTGTTAGTCTGCCAATGATAAAATCCCAATGCGCTTTATTTTTATTAAAGTTACTTATATATTTATTTTTTCACATAAAAGTAACATATTTTTAGTGCTTAAAAATATTCTAAGTATCTAATGTGTTCATACTCAATAGAAGTATACATTAAATCGTGATTACTGTAGTAACTGGGCATGAGGGGGTTAGGGAAGCAAAATTTTACATATCAACCTAAGTCAGAGAAAAAAATAAAGAATGAAACCAACTTCCATGACAAGCATTGCAGTTTGATCAGTGGGGAGAGCTGAGGGGTTGGTAGGCTTGCAGCCAGTGGGTCTGATAGAGCTTGGAGCCCTTGACTTTCCTCGATTCTGTAGAGACTTAAAGCTGAGGACTTGGCAGTTGTCTGAATAATAATGTTTGCTGTGTGCTGACATTGTAGTTAAAGGATTCCAAAACAAAAATATTTTCAGGCTGTTTAGCGGGAAGGGATACTATGAAAATAATTCAGGAAGTATTTTAAAATTAGGGTAACTTTTTTTTTTTGCCTTAGAATCCTACTTTAAAAAGATGACTATAGGGGCTGTAGAGATGGCAACAGTTAAGAGCACTGACTGCTCTTCCAGAAGACCCAGGTTCAATTCTTAGCACCCACATGGCAGCTCACAACTGTCTGTAACTCCAGTTCCAGGGGATCTGACACCCTGTTCTGGCCTCTGTGGGTACCAGGCATGCACATGCTGAACAGACATACATGCAGGGGAAACACCAATATACAGAATAGTAATAATATTAATAATTACAGAAAAATTTATGAATGACTATGCTGGGTAGCTTCTAAAAGTACCTTCCAAATATTTAACTCTGTATTGTGTTTAGTATATTTAAAGGGAGGTCCTAATCTCAACTCAATTAATATGACAAATGTTACCAAAGTTTTTTTTTTTTTTTTAATTTTTTCACAGTGTCAGGCATGAAAATAACTAGATTCTGGCGCAATTTTTTCCTTTTGATTCTATGCCAAGGGATATATAGCTAACATGTAAAAGTTAATAATAATAATAACAATAGCAATAACAATAATAGTGGTTAAGAAAAGAATGAGAATGTTTTAGATTTTTAGTTTTAAGAAAAAATTTAGAACTGAGTATGATGGCATACGCCTTTAATTCTAGTACTTGGGAGGCAGAAATAGGAGGATCTCTATGATTTCAAGGTCAGCCTGGTCTACATAGTGAGTCCCATGACAGCCAAAGCTACATAGAGAAACCTTGTCTCGGGCTGGAGAGATGGCTCAGAGGTTAAGAGCACTGACTGCTCTTCCAGAGGTCATGAGTTCAATTCCCAGCAACCACATGGTGGCTCACAACCACCTGTAATGAGATCTGGTGCCCTCTTCTGGTCTGCAAGGACACATGCAGACAGAATATTGTATACATAATAAATAAACCTTA